GTTACAGTGCCCTGCCAAAGCAGAGGCTGAACTGCAGCGCAGACTACAGGAATTACAGCATTTTTATTTGCAAAAACCACGAAGTTACAAAATCTTAGTTCCCAACACAGTATAGTATCTACCTTCCTATCTATGTGTTTTAGGAACAGAGAGTACAGCATATTGAGAAGGGGCCATGAGACCATATCTCAAGGCCTGGCCTGATGTCAGTACCTTCCTATCGATGTGTTTTAGGAACAGACAGCACAGCGCACCCCATCTGGCCAAAGTGCCAGATATGCAGCCCAACACACTTATCACATAGAATCAATTAGAGGATATAATGAGAAAACATGCAAAAGATTAGTACAGGGTCGAGTATATATTAGGTGCTTTAAAATGTTAGTAACCCCTCTGCCCTCAATGGAATAAGTGCTAAAATAATGCATGTGTTGAGTGGTACAAAAGCATAAAAAATGGTGATGAAATCAGCTTAAAGGAGACTTCTCAGAAATGAACTGCAAACCAGATATTAAAAGGCAAACAGGATTCTGCCAGCTGGTTGGAAAAGATATTGTAGGCAAAGAGAATAACATATGCAAGGTCACAGAAATGAGTATGGCAAACAGAAGCAGGACAGGTGACTGGAAAAGATAATGAATATGGTCCTGGCTGGGTAGCTCAGTTGGTTACAGCATCAATCATCCCAATAAGCCAAAGTTGCAGGTTTGATTCCCTAGTCTGGGCACATACAAAAATCAGCCAATGAATACATAAATAAGTGGAACAATAAATTGATGTTTCTCTCCCCCCCTTCCTCTCTCTAAAATCAATTAAAAATATATTTCTAATTAAATTTATTGGGGTGATATTGGTCAACATAAACATATAGGTTTCAGGTATAGGTTTTCCAGGGCACGAATGTCATGCACTGGGCCTCTAGTAGTATAAATAAAAGAATTTTGAGGTATTAAGCTTTTCTTAGAGGCACATTGGAATTTTCACATTTTATCATATCCCAGACTAAGAATAAAAGGTAGTATGAAGTAGTTTTTATTAACTTTTTAAAATGTTTAAACCTGAATACTCATATTGAGAAATATATACAATTTGCCTTTACAATAATGACCTCATTTACTTGAAGCAACT